CAAAATTGTTGTACTCCTGTTAGCAGGTCACAATTTTCCATTTACAAGACTTAAGTAGATGTGCGCCCTTTGAACTCCGGGGACCATGTCTATGAGTCTATTAGCTTTCCTGGGAAGTCATTGTAATCAGTTGAAAAGCCACTGTATTGATCCAGAGAGAGCGAGGAACAGAGGCAGAGACTGAAAGTGAGTTGTTAATACTGGGGTAGAGAGTGGGTTGGAAAATATTTGCAAGGGGGAGCCATTTATCTAACCACCCTCATCATGTGTTTTTCATTAAACCTCTTTTCAGTTAAGCACAGTAATCAGTGAATCTGGTAGTTACAGGAGAGACTGGAACTGAGCAGCTGTAAAACTGATTTAGAGTAGAACGTATCTGCCAATTTTCATTGCAGCTCCACTTGGTGTGAAAAACTGGCCACCAGAAATGTTCCAATATCCAGTGGGCACTTCAAAATGTGGCTGTGCTGATCTAATTCAACATGAATTTATTTATGGGTGTGAGATGACAAGTGCCAAACTTGACAGCATTAGCATCTTAATAGTTTGATCTGTTTTTGTTTGTTAAATAGATCAGGGCTAAAGGAAAGCACTGAATGGATTTTATTTTCTTTTTCTCTGAATATGGCCATCTGTGAGTCAGTTTGTACATCCACTCATACCCTTGGATTTTGAATAGCTTTGTTCTTTTGTGCGTAAGTTTGTTTGTGTCTCTGGGTGTTTTCGAGTCGATTGACTGCGAGATATCCGTAAATTCACCACTTGATTTACAGGGCAGTGACGTTCAGTTTGCTCAAGGCAAGATTTAAATGTCTTTGTAACTCTTTACTTTGTAATGATTCGCAATACTTTTTAAATACATTTAAAGCACTTAACTGAGGCCTAGAGCAATTCATGCTGAGTACAACTGTGGCTTAAGGATTCCTATATTACCTACATGTCATGCAGCGAATCGTATAGTATAGTACAAAGATCAGACTCAAACAAATGCAGTTAATTATTAATGTAACAACATTGTTTAATTTCACTTGAAGAAAAGTAGGGGAGAAAATACTTTTGTTTAGTTTGTTAACTTCAGGAAGACACACAGTGAAATATGGTAGGACAGCACAGTATCACTAGGTTGAGATCAACTGACAGTGACAGCTGGTGAACAACCCCACCCTGATTTATTATTATTATTGACATTGCACATTCAGGACAAACACAATAGATAAGACAATGTAGCAATTTCTATTTTCTTACAAAGGTGATAAAAGAGATTCAGGCTTTCTCAACCATTAGATCATGTGCCTGTTTGCTTGCTCTCCCAACATGGAGCAGACAGACAGCCCGCAGACATGACCGCTGCTGTTCCGATACATCGGTGTGGAAGGATGCACCTCATCATGGCCGAGCAGCAATTTTTCACATGAAGGCCGGTTTTGTTTATTTAAAGCACCCTGCATGTCGGATGTTGTGGAATGAACAGTGGTGACAGATTCCTGATCTTTACAACTGATTGGTAANNATTTTTTAACCTATTTTACCTAGCTGTGGTTTTCAGGTGACTTTTTATGTTTCTGGCTCATCACAGAGCCTAGAAATAAAGTGAGTAGGTGTGTGTGGGTGGTGGTTATGTGGGGTCATATAGGCCCAGTGCCCAATGATCTGTACAGCCAGCCAATGTCACTTGAATCTAACTTTTCCCTTTGAGAGACAAGTCAAAGGATACAATAATAAAGGAAATACTTCAGAGACAGCAGACAAAGCTTTCAGCTGACAAGCATTTGGCATTTTGACTTCTTTTTACTATGTTGCAGTTTGTACAATAAAAATCGTTTACATTCTGAAGCCAAACCCTATAGTAATTAAAGCCTTCAGTCAACATGATGACATGTTTATATATTCTATTCTTTGTACTCCTGGCAATACATAAGCCACTATAAACCTATACAACATTAATGCTAACCCATACCCAGTCATGTGGGGAAAAAAAGGTTATATCTGTAATTAATGAGGTCTGGATTATAGATTTATATTGATCTAGCTCTTACACATAAACTGATGCTTCAGTTAGAAAAGAGTGGTGTGTTTTGTAGCCTGACTATGTAGCACGTCATACGTTTTTAAAGTTCTGTTCCAGCCGATAGCTGTCCTTTTATTCACGATGATTGCTTTAGGGTTGACCTTTTACAATTGGCCATAAAAACTGTGAATTTACTCAGCTGCTGCCATTCTCGTTTTTACCTGCAAATGGATGGACAAACATGGAAGACCTGGAACAACTATGCACACTGCAGCTAATATCCATGTGCGTATAATTAATTTTATAGAGCTTCTGAATTCAGTGCTTTAGATAAATTACAGCTAACATTCTTAAGTCAAGCCTTGAGGGTCTTTCAGTCCCTGAAAGCTCATCAGTTTATAAATGTGGTTTCAGTGGGTGTCTCTGTGAACCTGTCATCCGGTGGTGTGGGCTTATTCAGGGCTCTGACTGTGTGAGAGCAACATCATTTTATCACATGATCATCACATTAGCAAAGTGTTATACACAGCAGCAGAAAAAAAAACAGACAGCAGCATCATTACAGTATTTCTGTGCTTTCATTTTGTCTCAGCAAGCAGACTGGGGATCAGCGGATCAGCTGGTCAGCACAGCCTGAAACTGACAGCATGAAATCAGTCTATCAGAGAGAGAAGCATGGTTTGTATTAAGTGAACTGCCCTTTACTCGTACTTTTGATTTTGCGGCTGGAGCTGGGAAGGGACTTAGTGCCACCTACTGGTTCAAAGCTGATGTGGATCTCTGGAGAGAAGAGAGAGGAAACTGGCAGGAAATGAGTAGAGAGGCTTTTGGCTGGCTGGCCCGATGGATGCGATGCTTAGTCTTCCATTAATATCAAACCAGGCCACTTTGTGCACACTATGCTGCTTTCTGCACACTCTGTTCTCTCTCTCTGAAATTAAAAGGCCCTTGTATAATAGCTTTAAAAAGTTATTGTCATTGGACATCATTCATGCATAAATCATAGTCTCTCTATATAAGTGAGGTTCTGATGAATATGAAAGTCAGTTAACACACAGCTAACAAGCATCTGCCGTTCAAACACAACAGGAAAATAGGTTGTAGAGGCCCATACTGTCAATTACTGATTACTAATGTTAAATAAAAGTAGGTGAGCCACTGGAGGTGTCCCAAACCCCAGAGTGCAACTGAAACAAGGTATTTTTTTTCACGTTAACCAGGGTTATTTAGGTTTACTATACCAGCCCAAACTGCAATCATTTTGGTAATGAGCTCATCAGAAATAAACTTCAAAATCACAATGGAAGCGTGTCTGCTAACAAAACAAAACTTCATGAGAAGTCTCCAGTGTCATGTTCCGAATTGTGATTTCAGTAACATTTCATTTAACACCTGGGGTATGGCTCTCAGATAACGTTAGTTAAAGCTCACTGACTAGCCCAGCAGCTGGGTTACACAAAAACTACCCAACCTGAAAAACCCAGACAAATGGCCAGCTCCTAAAACTGTGTAGATACACCACCTCCCCCCCCCCCTGAAATGAGGCTTTAACCTCATTTCCTGTTTTGTTTATCAAAGTAACTTGCAGCCAAATGGGCTGTAAGGTCAGGAGTTAAAAAAGGTACACCTGGGGTACATGGTAGCTTACCTGGTAGACTGTGTGCTCCATATAGGCTGAGTCCTTACCCAGCAGCCTGGATCTGATTCCAACCTGTGGCCCTTTNNCCCCCCCCCCCCTTCCCCTCTCACCCATGTGAGCATGCGAGAAACAGTAATAGTGTTTTTTGTGAGCTATTTATGTTTTAGTGTTATTTTCCATTCAATTAGGTCTGTTTAAACAAAATTATAAAGTCAGCTAGCTTCTCAGATGATCTGCTTCTCCCTTCTGTAGTCCATCCTTTCTTCTTCAGTGAGTGATTATAAATATAGCTAGGCTGGGAAAACACCGGTGGGACATTTCTTACCTCTCATGTACATTCAACAATTTGTCATTCATGACGTTCATCATGGAGAGGGGTTGTGGTGCGCAATTAAAGGTTTTAAATTGAAATCCCCAATGCATGTTTGTATAATATGTTCACATGTTGTGCATACAAGCAGGTTGTATTTGTGTGTACAATTGTTGGTTACACAGTCCTTTGTGTATGATTGTGGAAGTGTTCTTATTCACACCAGAGTTGAGCCACAGTGCTTGGCCTAATCCCATATCTTGGACTGCATCCTGGGTACTACAGCAGCCAGGCTCAGGCAGTTTCACTGCTGTGTTTTCTCTCCACTATCAAGAGCCTGTGTAATTAACTTGCCTATTGCTGCATTCTTTGTCCTCAGAGCACCCACCAGAAAATTATTCATCTTAAGAACAATTAAATGAGCACTTATTTTTTATCAATTGATGAAAGTCACTTCAGGTTCAATTATTTCAGTTGTTTCCACCGGGCATTCTTGTATTAATGTAATCAAGTGATATTTTGTTGAATTATACATCCGTGTTTTGGATTGAAAGTCTGAAAGCTCTGGCGAGGTTCAAGGACTACGATTGTAACTGAATAGAACTCAGTTTGGATGAAACTGGGATGTTTTCAGATGGATGTGAGTTAAATTTTTTCCCCAATAGATGAAAGTTAATGTAGGCGTCTGGAAACATTTGATCTGTATCTCTGCCATATATTTTTGGCAACAGAGCTGTATTCTGTTGTGAACTTTTGACTGTATCTCACAACTTAAGATTTCTTTTTGAAGAACATAAGACCTTAGTGTGTTTTAAAAAAATTTTTTTTATGTGGGAGTAGGATGAGGATAGGAGGTAATTTCAGAAAAGGGCACATTTGTATGCTTCACAGAATATTACTAAAAAGCTCCACTATCAGTCTCTCCACTGACCAACTCATAAATCACACTGCCACACACAGCAGCACCAAGTTTTATCTATTAACAATGGAGATTATACTTGTTATGCACAACATTTTATTTACTGAATATAGCAATACAGATTCTTAGATGCTCGATAAAGCATGGCAAAAAGATAAATGAAAAGTGTTTTGTTGAGTTGAGTCTATGAGTCCTCATCTTCTAATTTCTCCCACCTATAAAATCTATGAGGATTCACAAAGTCACTAAGATACGTCTTCAGTTTCTTCACGGGCCCCACTTCTTTCACATTTTGGTCAGTTTGTTTCTGTGATACAGGAGGTGCCGAGCCTCCCTGGTTTTCTGTATTCTGTTGGGCAGCTGGCCATACTTGGACATGGTTTCTTCTCATTTCCCGTTTGTCCATCCATTCCTTCCATTGCCTCTCTATCAGCAAAGACTCATCCTCTTGGGTTACATTCACTTGGACTCTTTCTTCCTCACATCTTGGTTCCTTGGTCATAAAGCTGGGGTTTACATGAAAGGGATTCCTTAAGATTTCCTCTTCAACGGATTCCTTCACTTGGCTGGTGTCAGCAAGAGTAGCAATATCTGATGTAATCCCTTTTTTCTCCTGTTGCTCACATTTAGCCGGTTGTGAGCTGGTGTCAGCAACATTGGAGACATCGCTGGTGTCACCATCACTGGAGACATCTGACAAAATCTTTAAGCTTTCCTCTGGCTCATTATTTGGTGGTTCCATAGTTATGAAGCTGCTCTTAGTACAAGCGGGTGACTCAAATAAGTTGAAACTTAATGTCTGTCGGTTCAGCGATTTTGCTTCCCCATCCTCTTGAGTTTTCTTCTTGTATTCTTCCTCCATTTTCCTTAGCCATCTTGATGTGATCCTCTGCTCTTGGTGCAGATTGGTGTAATGTAGGCATCTTTCTCTCGCTTCTTCTGCCACCAGCTCTCTCAGCTGTTCTTGAAACTCAGCCACCATCTCCTCTTTCAGGGCATGATTCATGAGAAGGAATTCTGAACGCAGCTCGGCCATTCGCTTCTCCACCTGTTTATTCACCATCCCTTTGACCGATTTGATGCAGAACCTCCTGTCGTTGGCTGCCTCTTGTCTCCTCCTGAGCAGTCAGTAAGACAAAAGTCATTAAATAGAAAAACATTGAGCTGATGTACATTTTTCATTATTTGTATATGCTGTATGATGCGGTTGCTTGTATTGCATGCATGATTTGTTTGATGAACTCAAAGGTAGAGAGGAAAACAAAACAAAAATATGTATATCCTTTGCCCTAGAAAAAGAAAGAAGAAAAGAATTGTAGCTTACCTGAAAGAAGAGAAACTCAGACTTTTCTTTCTGCCAGATTTTGCCATTGTGCTATCCTCTTCTCTTCTGTGCGGAAATATGAAAGTGCAGTTATTGTCAGGTAACAGGTCTCTTTTTCTTCCTTTATACCACTGTGAACTCTCAATTCTGATTTGTTGTTGATAGGTGTGGATTAACGTTTCATAACCAGACAGTGTAACTGGACACGACACAGTTGACACACACAATGTCTTTTGCCATTCAAAATGAACACACCAGACTGTTAGACAGGGAACCAGATACATCTGATATTTAATTTGCTCTGGCAGATGCATTTGCGATTTAGCCTGGCAATGCTAAGCTACCAAACTGTAGGTGTAGACCGCAACAGTAAGGCTTGGCCAGTAAACTTTAAGTGAGGGTTAATTGTTTAACCAAAGTGGAAAATAAACATATATATATATATATATATATATATATATATATTTTTTTTTTTAAAAAACGTA